GAATCAAAGGAAGCTACAAAAATATGAGCTTACACCAGCAGTACGTTTCCCAGCCATTTTTTCGAAGACAAGACAACGCTTTGCTGAAAATCCATCCTGGCAAAACGGGTTGCATGCAAGGCCCAATTTGCCTGGATGGATTTTCCACGAACGGGCCTCCTGGTACATCCTGCCGGACGTGGCAGCATGTGAGCCACATCTTCGAAAAAATGGCCGGGAAACGTACTGGTGGTTTAATCGAAAGGAGCCCAGACCGTAACACCCTGAATTCAAATTAGAAATGAAAAGTAGGACTTCATTGAAACTAGATGGAAACGATTGCATACACCTTTCTCATCACAGCCCCTCATAAACCCATACCCAGACTCGGGTTTGTCTCTGCTTGGGTTCCTGAGCAGTCACACCCTCGAAGTGCGGTCCAATAAGGTCGACGGTATCAGATTTCCACTGAGTTAACCACACCCCAACGGACGTCATAGCTACCCTCCTCAGGGCCTACTCACATGAGGACCTTTTTTCACTTAGTTGTGGACGAAAATGCGGTCATATACATCCCGGTATCGCCACAAATGCGGTCAGATACATTTAGGATAGAGCTGGTGTGAGTACGCTCTGAGAGGAGCTGCTTCAAAACAGTCACAATTAACCCTGTAGTTCTTGAACCCTACAACCTACACCCTACACCCTAAACCCTAAATCCTACACCCTATACCCTAAATCCTACACCCTAAACCCTAACCCTAGAAAACTGTGAAAGCTAACCAGAAATGACTGGGATGTGACTGGTGTGTTTCTTTGAACTTTCGCTTTCCGATTTGTGAGGAGCACCACACCTAGCTCAGCCCCTCCATAAAAAAAAACAAAATCGTGGTCGTTGCTTTCGCAACGACGATGAATCAATTGATTACCCATATGAGCTGGATCGTCTTGTATTCTTCCTTCAACTGCCAATCTGCTCACACCCCACTTGAACAAAAGTCTAACTTCTGTTGTGGTGTCTCATGCTACTAATCACGCATCCTGACGCATCTTGTTACACCACCGAGCCTGCTTTGCACGGCCATTCCTTCCCATAGTCCCTACTTGACCTCTGCACAATCCACTTAAAAAACTAGTACTTCGGAGGCACTTTTCTCCGATGCTGGAAACGTGCTGTGCACCAAAAGAAAATGAACCGGCACACCTTTCTTTTGACTGGCGCCGCCAACCATTTTCCTCCGGTTCCCAAGCTCCGAAAGTTGCGGCGCGTGAACGTGACGGGCAGCGGCCGATGTATGTGCCAAGTACTGGTGGTTTCACACAACAGTGTCCACTTCCAAGTTCCAGCTGATGTGCCTCTTCTCCTCAACCCCCCACTGAGATTCATGACACCTCATATCTCCTGTGGAGCCAAACACTGGCTCCCATTGTCATGCTCCATTACCAGAACTGCAACTGGGGAAGAATGCCAAAAATTCTTTGAGAATCCTTCACAGTTTCACCAAAGACAGGGTCTCAGTAAGTGATGCTAAACAGTGCCATACCCTACTGTCATGCATGCGGTCGAGCCCGGCGAGCCGGCACACAAACACAGTTGATTAACAATGTGCGCTTCAATCGGCAAAACAGCAGCCCAAGTCTTCCCAACATGAGTCAACAATGAGCAGGTATTCATCGCTCAGGTGGAAGTCACACTTATAGAGAGGGTAGGTAATGTGTTACGACCCTCGACAAGTGCCACACACATGCAAAAGCCGCATCCATCACAGTTTAAATGTACCCATAGTACCCATACACAGATTGTAGGAAACAAGAGTTCATTTATGCCAGACTCCTCAGAACACATTTGATCCCGCTGTCATGCGGCAGGTTGCCAGCTTGAATGCGGTTGATCCCTGAAGTTCCTGAACATAGCGCACCCAGTTAACCAATATATACAAGCTATCTTTCTGCCTGGTGCAGCCGAAATGAGGGTGCATTGTGTTCGCAGGAAGATGGCAATCAAGTCCCCATGTAGGACCATACTTAAACCACCCGTCTGTTTCCCAGCTAGTTCGGTCCAACACGCAGGTTAACCCGCCACAAACTCGTGGGTCGCGCCTACCAGACGGAAAGGGCTGGTGTTCCCAGGCAATAGCGCACCCTGCCGGTTGGCGTGCGACAAAAATCTGGATCGGGAAAACTCCGCACGGATGGCCTGATCGATTACGGAGGCCTCTCGTAAGGTCAGCATGCAAGACTGTCTGTAGTACCGTTAATGGCATGCACCAGCCCAGTCCAGGACTGCATATTTACTTTGCCTGTCAACGGTCCCTGCTACAGAATAATACTGTGGTCAACTTTTCATAAATCTCATCCATGCATGATCGTGAAATGTTCCCCGGTATCAGAATTTCCCTAACTGCCATCACTTTGGACCCCCTCCACACCGAAGTGGCGCTATACGTGTCCGTCAGGGGTAATGACCAGCCATCCCAGCCCATCCATCGGGGCAAACACTGAACCGCTCGCCAGGAAAAGCAGTTCCATGAACTTCAACTTCAATTATCTTCAAAAAGATACTAGGTAAAGAAGTGCTGGTGGTGGTTTAAAAATCAGGGAGCCATAAGGAGTCATACGTCAAGAGAAACATACGTCCGTCCTTCATTTTTGTCCTCCTCCTCCTCCTCCTCCTCCTCCTCCTCCTCCTCCTCCTCCTCCTCCTCCTCCTGTGCCAATGCCACCGCCAGGCCTGTTGCACACACCTCCAATTCTCATCCAGTCCATGAGATTCGCATCCAGTCAACAAGATTCCCATCCAGTCAACAAAAGAATAGCCCAGGTCAACACAGTCAACATACATGCTGTCCCACCACCTCACCTGTTGTTTACCCTTTTTCTTTCCTTTCCTTTTTTTTTTTCTTTTCCCAATGGATTTGGAAAGAAGATTCCAGAAACAGGTCCCTCCTTTCAATCCATAATTCTGTCTGTTCACAACTGTTACTTGCCTACACACTATGCATATGTTAGGCTTAAACCGCTACCGTCTTCACCGGAATAGAACGCCCGGTCATTATTGCTGCATCTGGGACGAAAGTTGTGCCAAATACAGCTATAATGACTGGGCGTTCTATTCGGGTAGTACACGGCCCCGGCCTTGCAGTCCAAAACTTGTCGCCACAAGAATCCGAGGCCAAAACGTCAAAGGCTAGGCCTGCCATTGATATATTGGATCGGTGGTCTCTTTTTCGTTTCGCGCCTTTCGCGCCCCTGGAATTCAAGGTGTAAGGCCCGTGGCCCAGGTAGCCGGGTAGCCGTGTAGCAGTCCATCCGAAGCTAAATTGACGCACCGAAAAATGCATTTTGCCGAGCCTAAAATATATACACTGCAGGCGTTTGCAAAAATGAAGGTGGTAGCCCTTTCAACACCAAACCTCTACCGGGCCTCGGCCCTCTAGAGTTTGACCTGGTACACGTAAATGAGTAAAATCTACAGTGCACGGGCCATTGGACTGGTGGTTTATGATATGTGTATGTGTGTGTGTGTGTGCCTTGCAAAATCCTGTACGACTGTCCACCACGTGAACAAACTCGAAGCGTGTGACAAATAAGAAGCTGATTGCAAACCCAGAGCCAATTCATAGCTCAGGGATATGAGCCTCGCTCAACATTCCACATGTATGTGGCCGTGTGTGGTGGACCAGATCCATTCGGACAGATCCAACATAGAGCAGAACGAGGTCCAGATATATTCAAATATGTTGTGCCGTGGAGCGAGCCCCAATAAAGCTAAGAACACTGGTTGAGTTGATGTCATTCCAGATTGCCCGAGGTAGTAGAGTTGTACAACTTCTCAGTAGCCTCAGGTGGGGGGGCGCTTTACGCAAATTGATCCGTCCGTCCACAGTACGGAGCACGTTTACGATGTGCATGGTCTTCGAAGTGTGGCGTGAAGTCGGTTTCTTGAAGATTGGCGTATGAGTTCTTTGTTTGCCAAAAAAACGTCAATGTTGCAGTCAAGGCGACAAAGGCCAATCAATCAATTCTGCCCTTTACCGTTTTGAGATGCTTGTGCGTCCACCTGAAGATTCGTGAGAGTTCCCTGGATGATTAAAGCCTGTATAATAGAGGAATTTTCCGGGAAGCTTCCTGGAAAGGTCCCTCCCCGCAATCCACACACAGAAACAGGCGAACAGAGGAATTTTCCGGGAAGCTTCCTGGAAAGGTCCCTCCCCGCAATCTACACAGGAAACCAGGCGAACAATACTGTATTGACCTCTCTCCTCAGAATGATGACACGGCCGCCTTTGGATGGCCAGTTGCTTTCGACAGTGATCAGTGAGGAGCAATCAGATGCCATGAGTCCTGCAGCTGCCTTGCAGAACTGATATGAAAAGACTTGGCTCCCATAGATTAGCTCATGTTTGGGCTCCGGCCAACGAGAGAATATAGCTGTCATTAATCCTGCAGCTCCCTTGCAAAAGAACTGACATGAAAAGAACTTCGCTCCCAAAGACTAGGTCATGTTTGAGCTCCTGTCAACGAGAATACGGGTGCCATAAGCTCATGAAAAGACCTGAGTTCGTTCGAATCCCGGTGGAATCAAAACTGGAGCTGCCTTACAGAAGAACTGACATGGAAAGAACTTGGCTCCCATAGATAAGCTCATGTTTGAGCTCCGACCAACGAGATTGCATTTACACCTTGGTATGTTGAAACTGGCGTAACGCATTTGGTACACCCATGAACTGTTGAAACCACAGACCTGAGCTTGAATCCCAATGGAATCACACGAGTGAAAACAACACCAAATAAAAATAATAGCCTCTGTACTTCGCGTGATGATTCATCCCAATGCCTGTGATACATTTACACTGCCCGGCGTTCCCACCACAAAGCAGGCGATTTTCCCGTCAAGGGCCAGTCTAACCGAGCGATTTGCGGTAGGGACTCTGTACGATGTGCATAGTCATATTCCATCCAAACCCTGTGGAAATAGACAAGAGTAAAATCAGGCTTATTGGGCCTGGACCCAGCTGAACTGTCTGTGCCTGGGCCCAGATCTCAGTGGTCTCACCTCCCAAGACTTACTCAAAGGAACAACCTGATGGCTGACCTGATCCCTCGCCAAATCTCGATTTATGCGTGTCATCGTTGTGCAGGGGCCATGCTAATCTTCTCTTCCTCTATATCGTCCCAAGTTTAAACCACCAGTACCCCAGGGGCTCTTAGCCCCCCTCTGATGCAAATGCATATGGACCCCCGCGCGGCGCACAGTTTCAGCCTCCGCGTTAACACCTAAAAACGCGGTAGGTACTGTGGTGGTTTAAAGGATGTCCCTAAGGACATCCTTTGCCAAATCTGATTGACACACCTCTCAAAACTCGCATACCATATGAGGTTCGCTTCAAAAAAGAAAAAAGAAAAAAACTTGCATTTCATCAGGCAGGAGGTCAGCGACCGAGAGCGGCTCTTGCCTTTAGAATGGAAGCTGATCACCAAAAGGTGACTTTTTTACACGTTGCAGTCTCGCAGATATTAAACCAACACAGTATATCCTAGGTATATCCTAGCTACTCCCTAGCTATACTGTAGCTATACCGTAGCTATACCTAGCTATGCCCTAGGTTATACCAAGGGTAGGGTATACCGAGGGTACCTAGGGTATACCTAGGGTAGGGTATATACCGAGGGTACCTACGGTATACCTACAGTATACCTACGGTATACCTAGGGTGTACCTAGGGTATGCTGTACCCTAAGGTATACCGTACCCTAGGTTTGTCTCCAAAAGGTGTGGGTGTGGCATTCAACACAGGTCGCAGGACATAAGATGAAACGTTCTGCAATCCCTCTCCACCTGCTGTCTTCCTGCTACCTGCTCCCAATGCAATGCCGTACTGTAAAGGGAGTCTCAAGAGCCCTGGGCCCAGTTTTGGCACAGTTCTGGGTTCAGTTTTGACAGGCCTGGCCCTGGGTTCAGCAGCAACAGTCCAACAGTTACTCGCTTGCGCAGTATTGCCTGTCCATTGTCCAAAGCATTCACCTCTGACCTCTCACTGGATCTCAGCCCCTCTTTGCGTGCTACCTTCTTCCCCCGAATACAATGTACGGTCATCATAGCTGTATTTGGCCCAACTTTCAGCCCGGATATGGCGATAATTACCGGGCGTTCTATTCGGGTGAAGACGGTAGCCACCAAACTTAAACCACCAGTATTCTGCCCAGCCATTGATGCCAAGCCTAAATTCGCCCAAAGCGATGTGGGCCTGCTTTTGGCTGGCGCCGCCAGCCATTTCAGTCCGGTACCCGAGCCCCCCAAAAATGTGGCCGTTAATAAGCCGCGACTTCATTTTCCAAGCAGGGAAAGGTACCTGGTGTTTAACAGAAACACTGGAAGTGGACAGAAGCTGAACCGGCGATGAACAGAGGCTGACCCACACAAGGATCAGATCTGAACCAGGTCCAGAGGGATGAGATAGAGGCTTAACCACTCCTGAACCAGGCCTGAACCAGGCTTGAGCAACGCTGAACCATGCCTGATCGGCGGTTGAAGCCGGCCCATGCAGATGACGAGCCATGCCTGACGTCTCCCAAGATTTGGACCGAAGCTGAACCAGGGATTTCAAGTGGAGGCTGACCCAGAGAGGGACTGAGGTTGGACCAGGTGCACAGAGAGAGATACAGCCTGAACCAGGTCCAGAAACAAGACTGAATCAGGCCTGAACCAACGCTCAACCTGGCCTCAACCGAGGTTGAAGCAGACACGAGCCTGGGATGAGACAGACCTGCCACCTCCCATGCTGTGGAGTCTGTAGACCGAAGCCGGACCAGGCCAGGTAGGTTCAACTATGTCTGGAATAAGGGTGGGCTTGGACAGCAGCGGGGATGGACAGACCATGAGCCAGGGATGCTAGAGCCAGATAAATCTCTAAGGGAGGAGGGGCTCCAGGGCGCTGATTTGAGTCCAAAACCCTCACCGTTGTAAAGGAACCAGGATATATCAGCCAAGCTGGTGAGTTGGAAGTGGACCACAGAACCAACACATCAGTCTTGTTCTTCTCCATTCTACAAATCCTGATGATTTCCTTCATATGCTCGTGACAAGTGTCTCACATGCTGTTCACGCGATTGCTTGCACCTGAAACCACATGAAGTTCGTCATGCAATCAACGCACAGTCTCCACAGGTATAGCAATAGCAACACATCCATTGGTCACTTTAAGCAAGTGAGTGTTTCAGCAATGCAGTGCCTGGAGTGTGACCGGTTGCTTCCACCAGAAAATACCTTCAGTCAGCGTGTGCGAGGCAGCGCACCACACAAGGAAACATGAATGATTGCCAGATGATAAATGTGCAAAGGCCTTATGCCGTGATGAATTCTCAGTGTTCCGCTAGGCAATAAGTGATCGAGCTCTTGAATTGCCTAAGCCCTAAACCTCAAACCCTAAACCCTTGTCCTTCATGAAAAGCCTCGAACTCAGCAATACACAAGCCAGTTGTGCCAGACTCGCCCACAGAAACACCGCAAACTATGCCCAACCTGTCCACGTCCATCTCTCGCCATGGGGGCAGTACGCTGACCAACTGGAAATCACCTCAGCACTGCATCATGCTGCTGATGTTGAGCCCTCTACCTCATCCATTTCTGCCTCTGGCATTAAAGCTGGGGAATCATCGGGTCCTTTGGTCATCACCTGACCTATCCACGTCCATCTTTCGCCATGGTGGCAGTACATACAATGAGCAATTGGAAATCACCTCAGCACTGTGTCATGCCGCTGACGTTGAGCCCTCTACCTCGTCCATTTCTGCCTCTGGCATTAAAGCTGGGGAATCATCGGGTCCTTTGGTCACCACTACAGAAGCACAGCAAACGATGCATGATCCGTCCAGTCCAGTTTTTACCATGGTGGCAGTGCACTGAGTAATTGAAAATCACCTCAGCACCGTGTCATGCCACCGACCTTGAGCCCTCTACCTCGTTCATTTCTGCCTCTGGCATAACGCTGGGGAGCCATTGGGTCCTTTGGTCATCACTACAGAAGCACCGCTGACCCTGCTGTGCTGTCCATTTTTCACCCTGGTGGCAATACAATGAGTAATTGGAAATCACCTCAGCACTGGGTCATACGGCTGATGTTGAGCCCTCTAGCTTTCTGCCTCTGGCATTAAAACCAGGGAACAGAACAATCAGGTCCTTCGATCATCACTGCATGAACCTGAACATAAGCTATGACGGTATATGGCCTGTCCAGTCAATCCATGGCAGCAGATTCTCCCAACAACTAGGAGTGGCATTGCTAGCATCGAGCCCTGCACCCTGCTGGATTTACTTCGAGGTGGTTTTCTGCTTGCTGACTCAGAGAGATACCCACATAGCACAGTGAATCTCTTGATGCCCCAGCTTATGCAGTTTTACGCAGCTTACTGATATCCACTCCCCGATCTTCGTTCTGTAAATCAACCCTCCTTCACAATACGGACACTTAAGGCACAGAGTTCGCACAAGCCTTAGTTGACAAAGCGACCTTCCAAGGCTCGCAAACCTGCAACTGGGCCTTTTTCTTGATGCCCCAGATTATGCAGTTTTACATGGCTTACTTACTGATCTCCACTCTCCAAGCTTCATTCCCTAAATCAAGCCTCCTTCAAGATACTGACACTTAAGCTACACAGTTTGCACAAGCCTAAGTTGACGAAGTTACCTTCCAAGGCTCACAAACCTGCAACTGGGGCTTTTCAAAGTGACCTGCAGCTTTCGCTATTAGCCCGGGCCCGAATCGAAAAGATCTTACGACGTAAACCAGTAAGAGCCGTACTCTGCTTCGGGTGAACTGGCAGTTTATGCTGTCTTCAACTTATGAATCTGCACAGAGGAAGGCAGAGTCTGAACCGCCCACCTTTTCTTCTCAACCCATAATTCAGCCTATCAACACAACCAGATTCATGTCAGCAAGGAAACAAGAGGATGCCAACTGCGAAGCTCACGAGTGGAAAAAGGCATTTGAACCCTCAACCTGCCTGTCTCAAGACTCTCCATAAACCGCCAGTACATCCAGCTATCGGCAGCGGGCCCTTTTCGGAGGCTGCCCGCCGCCGATTCAATTTGTCTACGGCGCTGGGGGTCTGGAATTTTTGTAAGCGACGAGTTTTCTTTTCAGCAAGGCTGGGTCCGTGTACTGGCGGTATAAGAATGCATCCAAATGATTGAATTGCGGCTGCTTTGTTGTCTTGTCAAGACCCAGAAACCCACGAACCCACAAGCCCACAGGTCGGCGAGAAGCCTCAACTCTCACACCGCCCAAGCAAATCGATGCACAGCAAGAAGTATCAATGAGAAGTACACACGATAGGAACAGCTTAGCTGTCTGGCGACAGTCTGGTTGCAGTCCGTCTTTGTGAGCACCCTCTATACAAAGGCTCAGATTGACCTAACCCCAGCATGTCGGTATGAAGACTCTCCTCGTGGCCATCAGTATGAGTACAGCGGCTTCTGCATCCTGCCAAGATCTGCAGAGGCAATCGAAAACTGCAATACTCCTGCTTCTGGCCGTGCACAAGCCAGGAGGGAGCTCTGCCCTGCTATCCATGCCAATCAATTCCTACAGGGGTAAAGTAGTGAGTGACTGAGTGAGTGGGTTGAGTGGATGAGTGAGTGAGTGAGCGAGTGAGTGAGTGAGTGAGTGGGTGAGTGAGTGAGTGAGTGAGTGAGTGAGTGAGTGAGTGAGTGAGTGAGTGAGTGAGTGAGCGAGTGAATACCCTCCAGCACACACACACATGTGCACACGTAGAGAAAGATGGAGATGACCCACAACGGCAAAGAGGCAGTGAGAGGGGCACACATCACAAAGCTATCGAGGAAGGAAATGGACAGAGAAAAGCAGAAAGAGACAGGAGGAGGGAGGGAGGGTGAGACAGAAAAGAGAGGGAAAGAGATGAACTGTGGGAGCAGGACTGCCAGTGATTGCTAGTAGCCTAGTAGGATGTCAAGCTTTGCGCACCAAGGCCCACCACAGCTGGAACCTTGAAGACTTCACCATTCTAGCCTTCCCTGAAGGAAAATTTAGCCTTTCCCGCTGCCTTCTTTTACTTTGACCAAATCCTTTCTTAACCAACTCCATGCTGACAATCCTCCTGTCAGAATTGATCCACCGCTCGAAAGAGTTGTCCTGACTCTACAAGAGCTCGTAAACAAGCTGGAGAGGGAAATCAACAACATTAATGGTACAACATCCACGCGAACATGTCTCTACAATAGAGTTCAAGCTCCCCTCCCCCCCCTCTCTCTCTCTGTGTATGTGTGTGTGTGTGAAAACTCCTGCCTGATAGATGAAAACCACAAGTAAGGTATTGAATGCTCCTGCGGCCTTTCTGAGGGCTAGAACTCCTCGAGTGTGTGCAAGTACATCCACCAAAGGTGCTAAAACACACTCCAAGAGTCTTTGTGTATGAGTGAAACACACCGATGACCAAACCGTTTCATCCCAATCATTCATCTACGACCGCCAGATCCGTGAGTGGGCACTGGGCACTGGTCATAAATGACGGTGCTCCCCTCCATCTGTTACGCCACAGACCACAGCTTGATGAGTCTGGTGATCACGAATGATCCCAACCGTTGAGAGGCCATCGGGATCTCCCCAACTTGATGTCAGTTGATGACATGTCAACCTCCGGATACCGTATATTAGTTCCCTCCTCTGACTCTTGAGCTTGTGCAATCTCCTCCTGCATCGCCACTGTCTCTTTCTCTTCCTCGACATCCTTCTCGAACTCATGTTCCCTACTCCTCCTGCTCTGTCAGGAGCGCGAAGAAGTAGGCCGAAATGTGCTCAGCAAAATCCAAACTCGCCGTTCTCGGAGCTCGAGCCCAAATTAATGTTCAAGATCGCAGGCAGGGATCTGCGTAAACATTTTAAGTGCCAACCAGAGAAAATTCCGCTAAGAATCACTGAGCAGACTCTACACGACTGGGAACATCCAGTGTGGAAAAGGTACTCCTCGGCACGGTCGGTTCAGCCACTTCAGAATCAATCAGCCTCTTTTCTCCTCTTCCTCTACGTCCCCCTTCCCCCAACTCATGTTTCCTCCGCCTTCTCTATCACATAACATAGAGAGGGAAAGGAGTCGATCAGCCTCCCTTCTCAGGCTTCTCTTCCTCTACATCCTTCTTTCTCCAACTCATGTTTGCCATTACTGCTCTCTTCCTTGACGGAGGCGAAGTTGTTGTTGACTCGGTCAAATCCAAAAACTGAATGAGCCTCTCTAGTCCTCCTCTTAGATGGACGTGTCAGCAGGCCGATTCACCTTCCCCTGCTCAGCTCGGAAGCTGTCCGACCTAGGCCTCGCCTGGTCAGCTTGAAAGCTTTCAGACCTGGGTTTGCCCTGGTCAGTCCGGGAGCTGTCCGACCGGTGTCTATCCTGGGAATAATCTCTCGAGGCTCGCCTCGGCACATGGCCAAGTCCGCTGGCTCCAGCGTTACCTCCGCGTGCCTCCGAGGAGAAGTAAGCATACCAAACTAGTATCCCCACAATGCCCGCAATGGACACGAAGACCCCGACCAAGACTCCAGTAAGTATTGCCTTGGTATCCGAAGTCTTCTTCTCCTCTTTGTCATCCTTTGCCGACGATGGAGGGGGTGGTGAAGGTACAGTCAAATCCGCTTTCCTAAGGACTTGTTCTGGGGCCTCCGCCAACGCGGGCTTGGTCTTTTCGAAAGAAGCGGGAGGTTTCCCTTTGGACATTACCTCGTCCAGTTGCTTCTCTAGAGCTGCCCATTCTCGTTTACGCCCATCCACGTACGCAAGCGCGTGCACGAGCCTCAACCTCATGTCTTCCCTCAGACTGGGACTGCAAACCTCTGTGGCGTCCTCTGTGATCTTCCTATAACTCTCTAAGGAGTACGTTTTCCCATTGCCTCCTACAATGTTTCCCTCTGCCCAGGAGGTTGACGACGAGGAAGAGAAGGATACGACGGCAGGTGCAAGAAGGAAGAGGAGGGTGGAAGCGCTAGAGCCTGTCGGCATTGAGGGTGCGGAGCTGCAATAGGTGTTGTTTCGGTCGGAGAGCTTGTTCTGCTGGAACCAGGTGGGACTTTCGGTTACGATCTGGCCGTGCTCTCGGATGCCATACACCTGGAACTTGAGCATCCGTTCCCGGGACATAAACCAGTTCTCTTTCACTAAGATGTCCTTGGTGTCATTCCAGATCGTTAGGTCGAAACAGTAGTCATCGGGCGAGTCTGTGTAACAGAAGTTCCTTGTCCAGTCCCCATACCGAACCTCGTTGTTTCTAAAGGCCACCCCTCTAGCGTTGATCGCAGTGTTGTTATCTACGACGAACCTCTGTGTGGTGTTATGGTCTAAGTAAATGGCTTGAGAAGCAATATACTGCTGGTGCACCTTGTGGTCCAAGTAGGCCCACTCGTTTATGAAGGTGTCCCAGTTCCCAAACCCATCCACGATTACGTTGTCCCAGATGTGTTTCCAGCCATGGCCATGTGCACTGAGCGAAGCGTAGATCGCCGCTCCATCTGCAAGCTGCAACATGTAGTCCCATACGACATTTCGTGCCACTTTACATGCATAGAAGTACACACAGAAGATGGAAGTGTATCCGGTGTGGCTCACCACGTTGTCGTACACCTCGCCCGCGTAGATCCCAATTCCCCGGTCCCAACCAGACACATATCCGATCTGATGGATCTGATTGCCAACTGCTCTGAAGATTGGGGTTCCGCTCTCTGCGTCCAGCCTCTTGAACCCCCCTATCCCTCCGGAAGTCATCCATGTGATCACATTCCTCTCAAACACGTTAACCCCCCTAGGAACGTTGTGCCGAATCCCCGTGTGGCCCCTCGTGATCACGCAGTTTCGTATGGTCACATTATGAACCGACGAGTTCAACTTGCTGTTGGACGCCAGAGTGTCCAGAGTGTCCTGCTGCTCCGTCGCTTCGACGTCAATGCCAATCAGCGAGAACTCCACAATGAGCCTCTCGATGACTATGTTTCGGGTGCCCAGTCCAATCAAGACGCCAGCATCGTGTTTGCGAAGCACAAGATCTATGGTTGTGATAGGCTTTCCCGGTCGGGGATACAGGTAGAGGAGCCGAGAAGTGACGTCGTAGAACGCTTCCCCCTCAGAGTCTAAGAACTCGAGCTTGTTCTGGAAGTAGACGCAGTCTGAGCTCACGTCGTCCTGGGATCTATACCACACCTTGTCCTGCCGGTGTTCCACTACCACCCCCTTGGTCCATCTATACAACTTCTTGCGAATCACTGCCTCTGCTCCCTGAAGCAAACCTGTCGGGTACATCATGCGCTTGAACTGCTCCCCCCCCACCACCCTCTTCCCAATGTCGTCCACATGCACGGCCTCATTCCCGCACAGCACCTCCTCTCCGTTACCCCACTTGAGGTCAAAGTTGACCAGGTTCGGAGTACGAGGCTTGACGAACAGCTCGTTATCGACATAGATTCCAGGGGATTGCAGAATGGTGTCGGGCTCGAGGAAAGAGGACATATCCGCAATCAGCACGTTCGGGTTCTTCGCCCAAGGACGCAGGTGCAGGTTGCTGGCCCAGATGCGAATGGAGCCCAAAAGCCGTGGCCTGGAGTCGTCAGACGTATTATCGTGGCAACGATAGGAAGTGACCATAGCCGGGGCCTTCCAGGTGGCCATAGCCACGACGAACAACTGCTCGGAGAACCAGGTGTCGCCCTCACAGAGAGCAAGGCGGTCACCAGGACCAAGAACGAGGGACCGCGATTTGTCCAGGCTTTTCCAAGGGGTCCCCGGACGTCGGGCTTCGTCGATCGTACGCCAGTCCGACCCGACGGAGGAGGAGAAGTAATAAGTGGCAGGCGCTGCGCAAGCTGGCTGGAGGAGAGTGATCAGCAAGAAGCCAATGAACCAGAACAACCCACGAAATCCACGGATAGGCAGTGATGTCATCATAATCATCACCATCAACATCTTTCCAGGCCGTGCGTGCAGAGCAGGATTATAGCCAGTCCCCTCTCACCGGAAGGTGGAGGAGGAGGAGGAGGAGGAGGAGGAGGAGAAGTAAGTGGATGGCGCGGCGCCAGATGCTGGCGCGAGCAGAGTGATCAGCAAGAATCCAATCAACCAGACGAACCGCCGAACTCCATGGATTGGCAGTGATGTCATCATAATGATCACCATCAACATCCTTCTCAGGCCGTCCATACACATTCATTCCTAGCGGCAGGAAGCATGGCCATCCGTCTTTCTCCCCTTCACCAGAGGCAATTGTTCGCTAAGACTCATCACAACGTCCCCATGTGGCTCCCCGTTTCAATATTCAAGAGCCGGGGTTATCACTATTTCTCTCTCTCTCTCTCTCTCTCTCTCTCTCTCTCTCTCTCTCTCTCTCTCTCTCTCTCTCTCTCCCCCTGCTCGGTTTGGTGTGCTGATGCACCTTGCTGATTGGTTTTACCTCTCATATGATATACTGTAGTCGCCCAATTGTCTGTCCCCATGTGCTCTCTCTCTCTCTCTCTCTCTCTCTCTCTCTCTCTCTCTCTCTCTCTCTCTTTCTCTCTCTCTCTCTCTCTCTCTCTCTCTTAGAGAAGGAGATAGCAGCAGCAGCAGCAGCAGCACAGCAGTGGTAGCAACAGCAGAAGTAACTGTGGCAGCTGTCGCAGCAGATGATGATGATGATGATAATGAAGAAGACAATGATGATGATGATGATGAGAACAGAGCGAGGCTAAAGGGCGATCACACTGACAAAGAAATGGATTACGTACTTCTCTCGAGGGATGATATAATCATAATACTGTAAGATGAAGGATGATGCATTAGGTACTTCTCTCGCCGTCAATCAAGATCATCGTCATCAAGATTGTCACTGCAGGTCACGTCCGAGTTCATACATGGCTCTACCTCCGCTTTCATCCTACCGTCTTCATCCGGCTAGAACGCCCGGTCATTATAGCCGCATTTTGGGCACCTTCACTCTAGAAACAGCGATTACGACAGGGCATTCTATTCCGGTGAAGACGGTCGCTGATGATCTGTCGATACCATCCGTCGATCGCCACCCTCGCGAAAATCAGTTACAGGCTACCAGGAGCAGTTCCCGCTTCGCCACGTGTCAACCGCCGAGCGTTCATCAACGATCCGCTCCACGTCCCTTCCACGCGCATCTAGCGCATACATCCGCTTCACAC